GAAAGAAAAACAAACCCTTGCCCTCTTATGATTTCTGTATTTTAAAGCCTAATTAATATGAATAACTATTTGTTGAATAAATTAAATGGCAAAAGGCAGTGAAATTTTAAAAGTATTTTCAAGTATTGTTGGAAATATATACCACTTCCTTTTCATTACGCTTTTTTTTTTCTTGACTCGATTATGTTTTTTTCCCCCTTGTGAAGTTACTGGGCAAATTCAGATACAGGTTCCTGCATATTCGTTCTATTACTATATACATGTTCAAAACGATCAAGGGTTGATAATCAGAAGCTGAGATAACATTTAATGTAGGGTCAGCATCTCCAAGGCTTTTTGTCACTCCCACTTCCCTGACAACAATGTCTGATGCTCTGGCCCTTTCTCTCCACTTTTCCTGTGCTAGGAGATACCAGTGGTTCCTTGCAACTATGTTTGAATGTCAAGGGTCTCCCCTTACAGGTTTCACCTTCATTTAATCTTCTTGTCTTTTGCAGAATTACTGGTTACTCTCAGTATGTTAATTTCTGTATTATTACTTTGTCAGTAGTATCTCTGATTCACTGTACTGATACTAGTGTTAGAAAGGTAAGCAAATTTTGTTGCCTAGAAAATAAAAGGTAAAAATCTCTATGTGTTTCTGGGTTCCATGTTGAAGGTTTTAAGTTTTTCACTAGCTATTTTTCCTTCTCAGAGTTTCCAGAGGCAGAAGACAATTAGATAAACTATTCTGAGCACTTCAAACAGCCATCTTCTAATTGAAAAGTTGTATTTTTAATCAACACTTAGTTGGACTCCTGTTGCCAAACATCTGCTTCCCTTCAGTCAGTGGCACCTCTTGACCCTCTGGTGCGCTTCTTGCATTCCCACCATACTGAACTCAATAGTCCTCAGCTTGGAGCTCAGCACTGCTCCCCCTCATCTCGCAAGGTGAGGACTGGGCCTTACTTTTCTTCAGTGCCGAGGCTGAGTTTTCACACTGTGCCTTTAGTAGACGGTGTGATCGGGTGTTTCAGATTCATCACGAGGGTCACTGGATAAATGTCGTTGGAGTAGCCTGAATGATGATGGTTGTCTGGGGTAGACTCCAGCGTGTAGACTAGTGCCACCTGGAAAATATTTTGGCAGGAAGAAATACGCATTTTATTTTATTGAACTCGGGAACCTGAATATTTATAGGGTAATAATAATGATGCTACTAATAATGGAATTTATCTAAACAAATAAATGAACACACAAAGTTCGTTTTCAATTTGATCACTGAACTGAATCAGTTTCCTCAGTACTCACTAAGGTGATAGAAAAACAAACCTCGTACCCCAAGCGCTAAAAACATATTGTACTGAAGATATAAGCATATCTGTAGTTCTTCAGAGGAAGGAAAAGGTGCTGTCCTTCTGTGAGATGAAAGAAGGGAGAATTGTTTTCATTTAGGGGTGAAATACAGAACAGAAGAACCCTTAACAACATGGCTGGAGTCCTGGAGTGCATACATATATTTACTGACTTATGTAAGATATATTTAGTGTGGGTGGTTATATATTATTTGCAGTATTTTAAAGCCTTGCAGCTTAAAGACAGAACCTTTGCTTTTCTCATCACTTCTTTTTTGCTCTCTGACTTGATTCTTCCCCAAAAGCTAAGTGCAGACTTCAAGCCCTCGGAAGTGTTTATTTCGCATCCTTCAGCCTAACTACTGAAAATCGTTGAGCTGTGTCCCCTTAAAATCAGAGCTCTAAATCCTCATTTAGACATGAGGCCAAAATAGCATATTTGAAGAACTGAGCAAGAGGTGTCAGTGAAAGTTGTGCACAGCAGTTCAGCAGTTAGTCCCTGGATATCTGAGAGTGTCCTCAGACATTTCGTTTTCTGAAATTATAGGTCACTTTTGAACATTTTATCCGTGAAATATAATTGAATGAAAAATGGCTGCAGGCATGCTTCTGGATTTTGAACTTTTGTCTAAATACAGAGGAATGGTATTGGGGGAGGCTTGGGGAAGGGTTTGAGATTATTGGCACCTCAAAGTAATCCTTTTTTTGTCATCTGGCAGCTTGTTAGTTTCTGTCCCTTTCCAGATAATGTATTACAGCAGCTATAATAGACGTTAATATTAGCCAGGCCCATCATAAAAGCCTTGTGATGTACGTGCCATCTTCTTCAAAACCTGTGTTCAGTAAATTTGTCGTGTTTACCTCAGACTCAATTACCGCCTTGTTATCTGCATCGGGGGTGAGTGTGTGCGTGTGTGGCTTTGATAGTTTTTAAGCAATTTTTGTTACATTGTGTTTCAGCTTGCTATTCCATTGCAAAAACTTCTCTTTATGATTCCAGCTCTCACTCTAATTAAATGTTAGATACTGAAGCTGTTTTATCTTCCCTGCTCAGTGTTTGACCTGACCTTTTAGCCTCCTTGGTCTGTAAATCTGCAAAGGTGGTTTGTGCTGAATATTCCATGTGCTTTGTTTCCTGGTGAGATAAAGTTGTGCAGCGGAGTTTCCATTTGTAGTTTCAGGGCATTCCTTTTGCACAAATTGCTTGGACACATGGACAGATTGTTTGAGACAAGATCTGAAGCTCAGACAGTTGTATCGTAGGGAGCTTGGGTGAGATCCAGGCCCTCCTTGATGTCAAAGAGGGTTTGGTCACTGTTTTCCATGAGCAAGGAATTCAGAGCATGATTTTCTTCACACTTTACTTGCTCCCACGATGCCTCTTCATTTATTCTTGGAGAGGTTATCAATTCATCATACTCCTACATGCAGAGCATCTGAGAGAAGAACTGAAGACACTTGCAGATGAAAAATATTTCTAAGATTTCCAAGGTTTCACATCAGTTCTGAGAAATGAAAGATTTAATACTTAGGGATTATGGAATATAGTTCTGTAATTTAGATGGACCCTTATTCTATCGTTACTAAACAAATGTTATTTTAAAGTTAAACATATTTTGCCAATATCCATTGCTCTGACTGAATGATGGGGATCTTAGATTAGAAAGGGCTTTTCATCCCAGCGGATTCCCGTTGTGTTTGAG